GGAGTCCTCCATCACTGAAGCAAGCAAGCCTCATGTTAGTTTCAAGCTGCCTGGCTGCCGGCCGCCATCTTGGCTGGCAGTTAATTTGCATATCTCACTGATTAGCCAATGGGAAGGGTAGCGGTCGTACGCCAATTACCATGTTTCTCTTTTATTAGATAGGATAGCCAAGATATGAAAGTAACCTAAGTATCCAACAGATGATTGGATAAAGAAATGGTGCATATATACAATAAAATATTATTCAGCTATAAAAAGAAATGAAATCTTGTCATCTGCAACAGCATGGATGGACTTAGAGGGTGTTGTGCTGAGTGAAATAAGTCAGACAGAGAAAGACAAATGGCAGATGATTTCACTTATATGTGGAATCTAAAAAATGAAATAAACAAACAAGCAGAACAGAAACAGATTCATAGATACAGAGAACATTTTGATGGTTGCCAGCTGGAGGGGGTTGAGGGGATGGATGAGAAGGTGAAGGGGTTGGGAAGTACAAATTGGTAGCTACAGCACAGACATGGTAATGTAAAGTACAGCATAGGGAATATAGTCAATAATATTGTAATAGCTCTATATGGTGTCAAATGGGCACTAATTTTATTGAGGTGATCACTTTGTAAGTTATATAAATGTCTAGTCACCTGAAACTAATATAATATTGTACATCAAGTGTAACAAAAATAAAAATTTTTAAAAAGGAGTAGCTATTGCTTATTGAACATCTTCTATGTACCATACACCAAAAAAAAAATCTCATTTAATATCTGTGCAAAACCAATATTATTGCCAGGTGTCACGATGCATTGCTTTATGATTCATGGTGCAGACAAGCCTGCTCCAAACAACACTGACCCCTCCATCTTGCGTTGAAGGTGCCCTGTTTGCCTGCCCTTGGATTAGAGTTCTGAAGAGATGGGGAAATTCTTGGGAGGAGCAAAGGTGTGAGGGCAGGAGGGTTCATCATTCAGCTGCATGCAGGAGCAGATGACACTCCCCTCTGAGGGAAGTTTCAGATCACTTTCCTTTGGGAAGGTTTGAAGCATCTTATAACCATTATTACTTCACTCTTCATATTATCCCTGTGAAGTGGGTGTCAATTGGGTGTGGCTCTTTAGCAGATGGAGCAACTAAGCATGAGAAGAGTGGCCAACGTCAACCCAGACAAAAGGCTGAAGACAAGACGGGTTTCTGGACTCCCAACATCCGTGCAGACATCACCCCGCACCCACACCTGCCCGTGGACTGCTGACGTGGACGAAGGTCTTAAACTCGGAGAAGAAGATGAAAGCATGAACTCCAGCTGCCAGAAAAAATTATAGGTCCTCTAAGGGGCCTTACCTCCCACGGAAATTATGAGACACAGAGTGAATATGATCAATACTCAGGGAAGAAATGGACTATGTGCTTGAGGAAAATAAAATAAAGCACGTACATAGTTTTTGCGTTTTGATCCCAGCTACTGACGTGACAGTACGGGTGAATTTTCGGTCTGGACCAGGATCTGCAGCAGTGGTGCAGCCAAAGGTCGGCTTTTCTCTCCCGGACACTCAGAGTCCGAGCCCTGGGGGCTGTTTCCCCCTGAGGTCATGTGGCTTGAGTCATCACCACAGACAAGCAGGAGCATTTCCACTTCGCCGGGACCCAGGACTTACAGGAAATTACTCTCCTGCATGTCTGATCGCTATGGAAATTGATTTCCTACAGATAGCTACAAGCACACTGGCCCTCGCTGCATGCCTTCCAGCTCTGGGCCTGTGAACCGCACTCCACCTCCTGACCAAGGCCTCCGGGGCCTCCACAGCAGCAGGGGGCCCACCCTCTGGCTGGAGAACAGCCTTCTCCGGACTCCCATGTCCCAGAAAGTGATTGCATCGCAGGGGTCTGTCTCCAGTCCCTGTGAGCTATGAATGTGTTCACACGTGGTCACTGCAGCAAGGGAGAGAATATTTCAGAAGTCCTGGCAAGATGTTGGTTAGAAGCCACAAAGTGAGCAATTGCTTGTCTCTTTGTGATGTTAAAGTACCAAGAAACAGACGCAGGCTTGCGTGGAAACGGCATGGCGCATGCCGTCCAGCTGATTTCTGAGGGCGGAGTATCAGCCACATCTGCTACTTGTTCCTATCAACGTCTTGTTGATCAGGAGAAATGTCTTTACTGGCATTTCACTCTTTACTCCCGTCTTCTGCCTCCTGGGATTCTAAAGGTCATGTTCTATCTCCATCTTTAAGGAAGCACATGGCCCAGCTGCCACTTGAACTGAAGGATGGATGGAAAGACCTTGAGAGCGCGGGTACTAGACGGAGGCGAGCTTTGGGCCTTCAGTGCTCGGGTCTGGATCGGAAAGCGCTCTTGTTCTGCAACTAGTGCACCTCTCAACTTTACACACAGTTATTTACTTTCTTGATCGAAACAAGCAGTGTGTGCTGGGGTGTACGGTGCAGGCTGCTGACTTAACATTTATAAAACAAGTACGCCCAGCGCCGCGGGGGAGGAAAGGCACTGAATGAAGGTAACACACGAACACGCACACACAAACCCAGTGATTGACGAGCAAAGAAAGAACTGGTTGCTGTCGATACGGTAGGAGTGAGCTTTCACCAGGCAGGCCAGGGCCCCGGATTTGTCCCCATTTCCTTCCAAGCACTTCCAGCCTTTCCTTCCCTTAGTCTCTTAAACACCATCTTTTAAACAGAAACCTCTCACTGACAATGTCTAAAACACAACTCTTCATCTCCTGCTGCCACTTCCAAACACTGCCCCTCCCATCCCCTCTGCCCCACACCGACTCCCCAGACAAAACAGGGCCCCGGTATTTCCAGTGCAACTTCAGTGACTGAGCGGCCAGAAGGAAAGGCCAACTTCATGCTGGAGGCCTCCATTCAACCTCACAACCCATCTCCAAGTCTCATCTCCGGAATCTCTCCGATTGCCCGTTACACTGCCACCGCCAGCATCCCTGCCCTCGTTCCAGCTCTAGATCTCTCCAGCGAACTGCTGCACTGGTCTAATTGGTCTCCTGACTTTTAGTTCTTCCACGTCCATCTGTCTCCCATGCTGCCCCTACCCCAGAGTACCTCTCCAATCTGCTGGTGGCACTCCCTTACCTGAAACCTCCAGTGGTACTTCTTTGCCTGAAGCTGGAGGCGAGGGCTGATGAGCCCTTCCTCTGTGCACCCAGGATGGGGAAGCTCCCCAGAGCACTTCCCACAGGGAGTCCCAGTGCTCTGCTTCGGGTATGCCTGCAGCAGTCAGCCAGGAGCTCCCTGGGGGCGGGGCATGGGATTTATTCCTTTCTGCTCCCTCCTGTCCAGCCTAGTACCCCACCCGGTAGGAAAAGTGCTCAATAGAGAATGTTAACTTAACTGAAGCAAGAGAACAATGCAAAAGCAGCATGACAGCCCCTGAACCCTGACTGGCGGGTCTGATCTGAAAACCCTAGCCCTACAGAACGGCTCATGTGCCCAACAGATGCGCCTGAGAATCGTTTAGCAGTAGGGCCAACGATTAGGGGCTCAGGGGCCAGGTGTGGGGCCTTTATCTACCTGGGAGAAGTAGATAAAATTGGTACAATATGCTGCACAGGTAAAAGGGTAGACGGTCTGTTTCAATAGCTGAATTTGATTCTGAGATTAGTTAGCAGGAAAGATGGCTGAGCTTCAAAAAGTATTCCAGGACACTTGCTGAAATACGTTCACTGTAGGAAAGAAGCTGCCTTAACTTTTAAGGAGAATTTTTAAAAGGAGCTTAAACCTGTTGGCCAGAACATGATCCTCCCTGGGAGAGGCATCCCCCCAAGAGGGGAAGGAGGTGGGTGCCGCTGGCCACTGTCACACAGAGATGCTGCTCGTAGCTTCCACAATCACGACAAAGGCCTCTTTGTGGGCCCGCAGTGTGTCACCTCCATACATATTCACAATGATAATATCCGGGTCCCCCAGAACCAGCGGGCTCAGGGCCGTCCAAGTGAACTCCATACCCTTATTAGGAAGAGGATGAAAATAAGGCATCCCAAACTAATAAGGCACTTCGTTGTGTCCATGAAAATGACTATAATTGTGCCCTAAGAAATTCTGAAAGAATGCAGAGTCATTGCTCAGAAATAGACTTTGGTGACAAGAGGTAATACACCATTTCTATTAGTTTTCTTCTTGTTTCATTCGGTGTTAGTTCATAGGGAAAGCACTCCATCCTATCAGAGGACCTGGAAAGTTATTCCAGGCAGGTATACAAGAAAAAGGGAAAAATATTGCAGGTAAGTTATTGTTCTTGGCCTTAGGAATAATGGCCACCTCTGATGTGATTTTTGCATGATGAAAGCCCACATTTCTGTTTAAAAAGAAAAGATGGTAAATCCAAAACATTTCAGACCTTCCCAAACAAGCCACCCCTCCTTCGAGCGGCCTCCTGGAAAAGCCAATGACTGCAGCCCATGCAATCTCCCTGGATAAGACTTCCTTCAGCATCAAAGACAGGAGCAGAAAGAGGTACATTAAGGGATTTAACAAACGATATGGCTATGTTAACTCTGTATGGTGCACTAATTTGTGTTATGTGTGAGTTTCCCATCTGATTGAAAAAAGAAAAAAAAAGCCTAACAATAACATTTCTAACTGTTGAAGCAAGAATTGGAGGTAGATGATGGAAGATGAAGAACAACTCCACACCCTCATGGCCCCCAGATCCTCCCTGAACTTCATGTCATCTCCTGGCAGCACAAGCCCTGACACCTGACCCCCACGACCCCCACATCAGGCTGCCTCTCAGGCAGGAGGTTGACATGGAGGTGTCTGGCCTTGCATGGGTCCAAGTCAATGTCTGTGCGAAGGGATTCATCTCCACATTTGGAAATCTCCTCCGAGCATAAAATCATGGCTAAAACGGTGGGTCAGGAAGGAGAGTAATATTGGCTCTTCTTGAAAGAAATGTTAATTTCCCAAGATGCCCCCTTTAATGTTTCAATACCAATTTTGCTATTAGAAATTATGTTTCAGGGTATTCGCTTTTAGAGCCCAAATTAAGATAGGAAATTAGAAAGAAAGGGTTGGAATGAATCTAATCCAAACTTTGCTGTAGGTCTTAAACCGCCCCCCCGGAATCCCCTAGGAGGAGCCAGACTAAAACTGGCCCCCTCCCAGGACGAGGTCTCCCTCTTTCCAGAGCGAGCTTGCATTGCAAAGAGCATGGGCGAGGCCCAGACAGCCTCACTCCAAACCGGGCTCACTCCCCTGCTCACTAGGGGATCTTTGAGTTAACCTCTGGGAGCCTCAGTTTCTTCACGTGGGACACTGTGGATAAGAGCAGAGGTTCCAGAGCCAGGCCACCTGCCACATGGAGCTGTGACGCCCTGGCTGCTCACTCAGCCCTCGGCACCTCAGGCCTCTGGTAAAACAGGAATAAAACACAAGGCCCCAGGTAGCGATGTTCGGAGGATTAACTGAGCGCCTGCAAACAGTAACCTCCCATCAAGTATTGGCTTAAAATAATCATGATGACGATGAAGAAAGAGAAAAAGGAGGAGGCGGCGGCGGCAGCAGCGGAGGAGGAGTGCTGTAATGAGGAGCCAATGATCTCCTGTAAGCAGATCCCGAAAGTGCCTGGTGCACAGAAGCTGTTATTGTTCTAACTACATCCATCATTAATTGAGCACCTACTTTTCATGTGTTATCCCCTTTGATCCTCCGGGAAGCCTGCCAGAGGGTAGCAAACAGGAATTTGGAGGGACGAATGTTATATGTGGGAAGGGGCAGAGCTGGTTAGAACCTTGAAGAGCCCGACTTCAAATCCCAGGCTTTGGTTACTACCCCACCTTTCACCTTCAACGGAACAGCGTTTCCCTGTATGGAGCCATGTTCTCTACAGCCCCCGGGGCTTTAGGACGTCCTCTCTGCCACTGTTTCCACAGCCACTGAGGCCACACTGTGTCCTTGGCTTGCCTCATATACCACTTGGGGGGGCCCCAGCTCTGGGGAATCCCTGCTGTGCCCCCTAGCTCCCACTGTTCACATGAGCCCATTTCTAAGTTTGGCTGATGCTCCCAGGACTCCTGCTGGCTGGGCCAGGTCCTTGCCTCTATTAAGAGAGGAAGACTGAACTTCCTCAGTTTAGTAAGCCAGACAACGGCAGGGTCGTTTTTAACATTAAAAGTAAAACGAGGCTCTTAATTCCTAAGTTGGTCCTCACCTTTTTTCTTCTGGGATGTCCTCCAACAGCATTTGAAGGAAATCCTGGAATAAGAAAAAAGCAAACCATGAAAAACGTCCATCGATGTGTCACTGCCCCCGGCTGCCGGCAGCTCACCTGCTCGCGAAGCTGGGCCCATGCTGGGTCACTGGACTATGTGCCCGATGTATTAATTACAGCACTTCAGTCCAATCAGGTAAAGAGATTTGTTTTGTAAAAACCACAAACAAATTGAAAAATGTAGTGTTTGTCATTTTGACCTAAAGCAACAGTTTATTTCATTTCATCTCTCAACTATGTATTTTCAGAAGGCTATCCCCCATAAAGCTCTGTCCCCCACCTAACCGAGTCCCCGTCATGAGCCCTGTAACGGACTGAACGACCTCAGTGCCAAGAGGCTGGTGAGTGACTTGCAACTTTCTTGCTTTGCTATTTGGAAAGATAATGACAGAGCTCAAGACGATGACTATCCCCGACCGTCCCCGGGGAGGAACCAAGCGGCTACAGCCAGAATGGTTCCGGTTCCCTGGCTCCGCCTGCAGCCTTTCCTAGTGCCACTGACACCTAGGATGTTTCAATAATAAATTTTTTAAAACTAAAGACATAACTTACACACACTCATTGTTTCCTCTACTATGGAAAATTTCAAACACATTCAAAAGGAGACAAAAGAGTATAATTAACCTTCATGTACCCATCAACCCACAGCCAATATGCCCCATCCACTTATCTGCCTCTTGTATTATTTAGAAGCAAACCCCAAACATTACATAATTCCACCAATCAATGTTTCAGTAAATTGCTCTGAAATATAAGGACTCTTTTAAAACATACCCATAATACCATAAGGCCTAAAAAAATCACATATGAATGTTCAATATCATTTATATTTAATTTGCACCTTGAATATTGTGACCAACCATGTCAGTCCATCTAATTCTAGAATCTTGATTTGGCCTCAACTAGGTTTGTCAGATACAATATTGGATGCCCAGTTAAAGTGGAGGCATGCCTACACTAAAAGAGTATTTGCTGTTTATCTGAAATGCAAATTTAACCTGGTGTTGCGCATTTTTACTTGCTAAATTAAACCTCCTACCATCTGAAGATTTGACAAGATACACTTTGGAAAAAATATAGAACATGTAGCAAACAAGAACAACCTGTAACGTTTTTGGGATCTATACTTGAAGATTTTCCTTTTAATAAACTGACAATCTTGTAAAGCAGGTCCTTGCAAGAGCTCAGATGACCAACTATGGCACTGCCCAATGAACATCCCTGGATAGAAGCCCCGCCCCCACACCCCCTCAGCCAAGCCTGCAGATGCGGGCAGTGCAGGCTCTGATGAGACCCATTTAACTCAGAATGTGAGATGGAAGCAGCAGCTCAGACCCTGGGATTACAAACAGATGGAAGCACGGAGGACTGGAAATCTGCAAACAATTTGTATGACAAGGTGTTCTTCTTCTATCAACACATGAGGCAAAGCCATTGCACATTGGCGAAGCCTGCCGGCCCTTTCTATGAGTTTATGGGTGCGTAGTAGGTTCATTTCTTCCAGAGGCAAAGACTCCCTATTAAGGGCAGCAATGAAAAATTTATTTCTTGCAAATCCTGTTCTCCTTCTAAGGCTTCACTTGTGTATTTTGCTTCACCCAAAATAAATGATACAAAGAATACCAACTAATATTAAAAGCATGGATCATGCAGGCAAATGGAAGGGAACAAGCCCCAGTACAATGACCCCTCACATCTGAAGTCCCTCCTTGCACCTGCAGTGGATGCAGTACATGGAGGAAACACCAAAGGAAGCAAGAGCAATATTTAGAATGTGAAGAATTACTTTTGCTTGAGGTTCTTTAAGTCATTATCTTTACTGTAATAATTATTTTGTATAAATGTTGAATTAGAAATTAATTTATCACAACTGACTTATTAATAGGTTACATTGCAGATATTTCACTGGTTGAATGGCAGTATTCTTGCTTCCTAAAAATCCAAGTACGGTAAGTATAATTTCTTACTAATTTCACTTCATTATCTCCTTAGAGCCCATATCAACTTATCCCATATTTGTCCAGTAGTGTATGCTCATTTATGTGTGTGTGTGGGGGGCGGGGGTGTGGAGTGTGGGGAATTACATTAACTCAATGGCAAGGGGGAGAATTTAATTGCTTGAGAAGCAGGAAATACAGAGTTAACCTTAATTCCTTCCTTTTGCATTTTCCAGTTACAACTGGATCTTTATTTATAGGACTTCAGAGAACAATGTTCCAGAATTTTCAGTGAATACAGGAAATTTTTGTATTCTGTTTGTCAATTTATTTTGTCCTATTTTGTTAGTCAATTTATTTTGTTCATTTGATTCCACATATAAGTGAAATCATGTGATATCTGTCTTTCTCTGACTGGCTTATTTCACTTAGCATAGTAATCTCCAGGTACCTCCATGCTGTTGCAAAGGGTAAGAGTTACTTCTTTTTTTACAGTCGCATAGTTTTCCATTATGTCCACTATTTTCTATCTACTCAGCTACTGATGGACACTTGGGCAGTTTCCAAATTGCAAATAATGCTGCTATGAACATAGGAATGCATATATACTTTCTGATTGGTGTTTTGGGATTGTTAGGATATATTCCCAGAAGTGAATTCACTGGGTCAAAGGGCAGTTCCGTTTTTAATTTTTTGAGGAGACTCCATACTGTCTTCCACAGTGGCTGCACCACCTGCATTCCCACCAGCAGTGCACTTGGGTGCCCATTTCTTCACATCCTCACCAGCACCTGTTGCTGATTTATTGATGGTAGCCACTCTGGCTGGTATGAAGTGATTGATATCTTATTATAGTTTCAATTTGCATCTCTGATGATTACTGATGTTGAGCATTTTTTCATATACATATTGGCCATCTATCTGTATGTCCTCTTTGGATAAGTATCTATTCAGATCCTTTGCCCACTTTTTAATTGGATTGTCTCCCAGGTGTTGAATTGTATAAATTCTTTATACATTTTGGATATTAACCCCTTATCAGATGTATCATTGGCAAATATGCTCTCTCATACAGTGGGTTCCTTTTTCATTTTGATGGTGGTTTCTTTTGCTGTGCAGAAGCTTTGTAGTTTGATGTAGTCCCATCTGTTGCCCCATTTGTAGGTAGGCTTGGCCCTTGGGCTGGCTGCCTGTGAGACTCAACCCCAACCATGCCATGCAAACTGTTGCACAGGTGCTGACAGAACAATACAAAATAAAACACAACAAAACAAAGCAAAAAACAACATGGAAAAAAAAAGCAGCCCACCGCCACTAACAAAAACAACAACAGAAAAAAGAATAAAAAGAGAAAAAAGAGGCAAAGAAGGAATAATAAAAGACAAGAGGCAAAAAGAGCAAGAACATGAATAGAAAGAAGGAATAAAAAAAATTAAAAGAAAAATAATAAGCCTGGAGGATGTCTGAATTCAAGGCAGTCACTAGGGATGTTGGTGCCATTTTCAAAATAGGGAATCAACCCGGCCGGCGTGGCTCAGTGGTTGAGTGTCAACCTATGAACCAGGAGGTTGCGGTTTGATTCCCAGTCCAGGCATATGCCTGGGTTGCGGGCTGGATCCCCAGTGTAGGATGTGTAGGAGGCAGACAATTGATGATTCTCTCTCATCACTAATGTTTCTCTCTCTCTCTTCCTCTCCCTTCCTCTCTGAAATCAATAAAAATATATTAAAACAAAAACAGGAAATCACCAGAAGAGGATCAGAAAGAATTCAGGTCCTCCATATTGAAGCACAAAAGACACCCCCTACCCCGCCAACCCCCGGCAAGGGTGTCCAGCAGAAGACTAGATAAACAGTTGTGGAATCACGGAGAGGACATAGAGTATAGGCCCCTCTTCTTTGAAGACACACCTCACCTCCTTGTTCTGAAAGCTGTAGATGAGCAGGTGAGCACGAGGGTCACGAGGTTGTAGGAGAGGGACACCACCTGCTTGGTCTCCAGGGAACAGCTGGCCTTGGGTCACAAGTGGATGACCCCATTGTACCATAAAGCTGAATGAGCGTGACCAGGTGAGAGGCACACACATAAAAAAAGTAATAATAATAAATAAAATAAAACATAGAATAGGAAAAGAAAAATGGCAAAAAGAATAAAAAAAGAAAAGAGAAAAAATAGAATAAGTAAAGGAAAGAGAGAAATAAGAGATATGAAAGGAAAAAGAAAGAAATAAATTAGGAAATAAAATATAAAAAAAGATTTAAAAAAACCAGAAAAGTGGAGTTTGCCCCCGAAGGTTTTGGTGCCTGCTACAAGCACGGCTTCCAGAGTCAATCCCTGTTTGTTAACTTGCTTACTCCTATGTGAAGTTTGGCCCCACACCCATATAAACGGAAAGTCTTTCTCTGATAGTTTTGAGGTCAGGCTGTCTGAATATTTCAGTGTATCTTGTCAATCTCTCAGTTTATCAAATATATATGGTGCACATACTGTTTGTCAATCATGTATTAAGTATTGATCAAATAAAGAGCATGGTCTGGCCTTCATGAGCTTATACATAGAATGGAGGAGAAAGAAAAAAAAAACCCAAGTGATCTTAAATGAAAATCTATATATATAAAAGCCTAAGCAACTGAACGACCGGTTGACTGGTTGCTATGATGCGCACTGACCACCAGGGAGCTGCCCCCTGGTGCTCAGTGCGCTCCACAGCCAACCTCCTGCGGTCCCTCCCCCCACAGCTGGCTGGCTCTGATCAAGGCAGCTGGCCAACCTCCCCTAGCATCTCCCCCGGCCAGCCGGTCAACCTCCCGCAGCCCCTACCTCCACCAGCCAACCTCCCACAGCCCTGATCAGCCCCGAATTGCCGGCCAGGCCGAGGGACCCCACCCGTGCACAAATTCGTGCACCGGGCCTCAAATAAAATGATAAATAATGGCAATGACAATGAAGGCAATGAAAAAGGCAAAGGGTAGAGATTAGCAGGGTGGATGCAGATCTGATTAGCTGGGGTGACTCTGAGTGTGTGGCATTTGAGCTGAGACAAAAGGATAAGAAGGAGCCAACCCTGCGAAGACCACTGTAGGTAGAGGAACAGCAGGGCTGCTTTTTTTGCTTTTGTTCTTAAGGTCACTTAAGATTCAACTATCTACGTCCCTGCACAGGACAGCTTTGGGTCTCAGATGGTCCCAAAACTACAGGGGGATCACACTCCCTAAAACAACACTTTCCTATGTCCACTTCATTAACTTCCTATTTTTCCTATTGCATTAAATCATAAATCTTTCCCCCACTTTTTAATACTCATATAATCTATTCCCCACATGCCACACCCCCACAGATTCACAAGGACTCATTTATTACCTGGGAAAGAATCAGCTGCCCATGAAATGTGTGCACAAATTTTCTTAAAAAGGAAAAATAGGTGTCATCTCCAAGTCTTCTGGCAAGGAACCGGAGAAGGAAATAACCCTGGAAGAAAGGAAGTAGAAGAAAAAAGATGCCTATCATGGATTAATCGGAAAAATGCTTACACAGTCAACCCTGACTTACCCACCAGCGCTTTATGCACATCTAGAATGTCCCATGTGATGTGTTCCAGGCTGCCCTTTATATTCTTTACTAGAGGCGTGATGCACGAAATTCGTGCAAGAGTAGGCCTTCCTTCCCCCAGGCTGCCGGCATCGGCTTGCCTCTGGCACACAGGACCCGGGACCTGGGCTTTCCTCTGGCTGCCAGCACCCAGGACCTGGGCTTCCCTTGCAGAGGGAGGCCCCGCCCACCTGCTGCAGCCAGCTGGTCGGTGGCCTGGGCCTCCCTCTGCGAGGCGATCATGGGGCGATGGCCTGGCCCCTGACCAATCGCACTGCACCCACCTTGGCTGGCTTGGTGCCAGTGGGTGTCATAGGGTGGTCCCGGATGGTTGTCCGGATGGTCATTCTGCCGTTTGGCTATTTGGTCGGTTTGCATATTATGCTTTTATTATATAGGATTTTAAATTTATGTTTATTGTTGAAAGCATTACAGATGTCCCCCTTTTTTTCCCTCATTGACCTCCTCCAGCCAGATCTCACTCCCTCCCCAGGCCTTCAAAGCACTATTGTCTGTGTCTATGGGTTATGCATATCTATATATATAAAAGCCCAGCGGCTGGAATGGTGGAACGACCAGAATGACCAGAATGACCGGTGGCTATGACATGCACTGCGGCAGCCAACAAGCCTGATCTGGGTCCTGATTGCTCCACCACCAGCCTGGCCCCGATTGGCCCCCAACACCCTGATTGGGGGTGGAGCCGGCTGGCCAACTGCTTGCAGCCCCTCTCCCCAACCAGCCTGGCCCAACAGACCCCCACTGGAGTGGGCCAGCCGGACCCCACCTGTGCATGAATTCGTGCACTGGGCCTCTAGTATGCATATAAGTTCTTTAGTTAATCTCTTGCTACCCCCCCTCCACCCCCCTCCTGCCCCTCCCCCTGAAATACATCAGTCTGTTGCATGCTTCCATGTCTCTGGGTCTATTTTGTTCATCAGTTAATTTTGTTCATTAGATTCCACATATAAGTGAGATCATGTGATATGTGTCTTTCTAGAAATTAAGGATCGACTACTTTGCTTTCAACTCATCTGGGTATTCCCCTTGGTTTACATGAAGCCTGGACACACATCTCAAACTAGAAGGGCTGGGTCCTGGCTCTGTTCTTCCTCAGCTATCGGGAGAGGCCTTTCACCTTAAAATGCTTCCTTCTTGCTCCTATGCTCCAGTTGGAACCTGACAACAATTTTAAGATTCTGCTCTTCAAAGCTGATGTGCAGCAGGGAGAGGGAGGTACAGGGCAGGAAATAGTTCAGGTTCCTTTGGTTGATGCCTCATTTTGGGGGTATAAAGTGTTTTAATTATTAGACAATCAGATATCTACCCAGTCAAATGTCATTACAATGTTGATCATTGTTTTGTTTAGCTCAACCATGTTATTAATCTTCACTGTTTATGTGTATAATCTAAAAAATGCTATACCATAGCCACTGGCTTCTGCCACTTAGATGCGCTTACCTTTAAATAATGAACCTGCATGAAGACCTTCTCTGGATTGAGCCCATGCTTAATGACAGACGATCCTGAGTCACTCACATGGCCAGTTTTCTCTTTATTGGGTCTAAAATGATGTAGCAAAAACATAGCACATTCTTAACTAATTAGACCACGATATCGCCTTACTCTTATTTTTAGAGTTGCCCAACAGTGTCTTAATTCTATTCAACAGTACCAGGTACACAGTAATTTAAAACAGTTTATGTTATACATTCATATACTGAACAAGTAGGGATTTATATTTGGGTTGGCAACCTAAGGTTGGCTATTGGCAATATTTTACATCATCTTATCCAAGATTAAAACTTGCCAGACTCTCATGGAATCTAAGCTCCAATATGCATTATTTAAGAACCTGCTTTTCTTTTGGTGGGAATGATAAACTGGGAAATACAATGAAAAATGTAGCTTTGCTTGGAAGAGTAAAAAACTTACATTAAAAAAATTCTTTTTTTGAAAGTCCCAATGTTACCCACTTCTTTCTACTTGCATTTAAGGCTCCTTTAAGAAATATTTGTTTAACAAACTAGCAAGACAGAAGCAAACTCATAGACACAGAGAACAAACTGATGGTTGCCAGATGGGAGTGGGGTTGGGAAACTGAATGAAAAGGTGAAGAGATTAAGAAGTACAAATGGGCAGTTACAAAATAGTTATGAGGATGTAAAGTACAGCTTAGGGAATACAGTCAATAATATTCTAATAACTACATGCTGTCAGGTGGGTGCAAGACTTATGGGGGAATCACTTTGTAAGTTATATAAATGTCTAACCACTATGCTGTACAGCTTAAACTAATATAATATTGAATGTCAACTGTCATTGAAAAATAAAAAAAAATTTAAAAAAGAAATATTTGTACCAGGAAGCTGTTTTAGAATCACAAAAACGCACACACAAAAGCAAACATTATTGAAGCCCATGCTTGTAGAACAGGTAGGGACGTTCGCAACCACACACTTCACCTCCTCAGTTCGCAAACAAGGGGGAGCTGTGGGCTCGTGGCTTGTTTTGACTTATTGTGACATTAGGACTGAAACCAAGACTGTTTTAAATATTTTTAAAAATTTCTTTAATAAAATACAATTGTGTTACAGTGAAGCTTCGCCAATTAGCTAAAATTAAAATATGTGACAAGGTATTTGCAGCTTTTAACTGTCGGAAAACCAGTCCCTTGTTGGACGAACACTGAAGAGTATGTGTTGGGTGAGTGGGAAGCATGGGCTGCTGAGAGGATGAGCATACCAGAAAGGCCAGTGGCTATTTTCAAAGGTAGTGTGCACAAGTACCAGGGACATGGCCATTGGGATCTAAGAGAACCGGTGTTGAGTTGCAACCCTACTTCTTAAACCTGTTTCTTACTAGCAGGCTAGTGAAATTCTCTAATCTTTAATTTATTCACGTGCAAAATGCAAATAATCCTATGTATCTCCCCTCTTCCTATGGAAAATAATTGAAATAATATACGCAAAATCCCCAGTAAGGGCTAGGGCTACATAAATTACTCAACAAACTTAATAAAATATTATACTTTTGTTAGCAATAAGTATCGCTAAATTCAAGGTTGGCCATCCATGTTAGAGGCACTGGGGTAGGCTGTTCTTTCATTTAATGCCCCCCTGTCTGCTGACACATCCTGTAAGGATGCCGGGCCTAAATGGAAGTGTCCAGGATGGGCCAGCCTGCCAAGCCAATCACTGTGCAGCGTGCACTAGCTGTGCGCACAGAACGTCCCATTAGGCCTCTGCCGGAGATTTCAGCACCTGATCTCAGCAGACACAGGCCTGGAACCAGCAGATACCTCAAGAGAAGACAACCACCAGCCACTAGAGCAAACGGCATAGTTTCCATTTTTCTACTCGGTCCCCGACTTGTCTACATGACTATACTTGCAGGAATAACGAGTCCCTTCCATCGTCATTTAAGACTCCATTGAAAAGCATCAGCTTTATTCTTGTTCTCAAGTTTGTCCTGGGTGGAGCGTTCTATAAAGAAAACCACACTGGCTTTGAGAGGGAAAGCCCAGCCAGCCTTGCAGGGAGGAAGGCTCTTCAGAACCGGAATTCAAACCAGTTTTCCCAGCCCCGGGAGAGCCGGAGAGCCAGAGTTGCTGTGAGTGTAAGTCCCTGAGCTCTGAATGGGGCCAGTGGAAGGGCGGGGGCACGGAAGACAGCCCTGAACCTCTGGGGGGAAGGCTGGCTGCCAGGTTCCCAGTGACGCTTTCAGTTGCTTTTCCCCCTTTGCCTAAAAATGTCCTTCCAGAAACCATCCCTCTTATTCTCTGCTTCCACCCTCTCCAAGCGAAGGAGTGTTCAAGGAAATTCTTTTATGCTGACAGCGTCGGAGGCAACCTTATGAGTCCCCAGGAGACTCCTTTCAAAGTGGACGCGACGCTGGAGGGAGCAGTGCCCAGGCAAGCCTCGGCTTCCTGAGGCACAGATGCTCCGTGAGCGGGAGATGGCCGACTTCCCGGAACGCACTTATCCCAGGTCTGTCCAGAGGGACACTGCACAGAGACCACGCGGGACCCACTTCGTGTAAGAACAGTGACTAATGCAGCCCCACTTTGTGTAAGAACAGTGACTCTCAAGGTGAGTGACCGCAGTCACAGCACCGCCGTCTCCCCTTCTCCGTGGTGTCACTCTCTGCAGTTTCAGTTACCTGCAGTCAACTGAGGACCAAAAATATTAACTTAAAAATTCCATAAACAACTGATAAGTTTTAGCCTGCATGCCACTGAGCAGCTTGATGAAATCTCATGCCTCCCCCCTGTGTGTCATGCCTGGGACATGAATCACCGCTTTGTCCAGCGTATCCACATGATTATGCGCTCCCTGCCTGTTAGTCACGTGGGAGCCTTCTCCATGATCAGATCAACTGTCCGGGTAGCACAGTGCCTCTGTTCGTCACCCTTATTTTACTTCATAATGGCCCCAAAGCACAAGAGTAGTGTTGCTGGCAATTCAGAAATGCCCGAGAGAAGGCAGAAAGGCTTTCCATTAAGTGTATGTCTAGAAAAAAACATAGTATGTGTAGGGTTCGGAACTACCCCTGCTTTCAGGCATCCACTGGGGGTTTTGGAACATGTGTCCCATGGGTAATGGGGAGGAGAGGGAGAAACTACTCTACATACAAATGCACAATTCCATTCACATGGAGTCAAAGAACAGGCAAACCAGGGTCCTGGGGGTAGAGATCAGAGTGAGGGTTCCATTTAGGCAGGAGTGCGGATGGGGGGAAGAGGGAGATTGTTGGGATGCTGGGAATGTTCCACACAGTAGTCAGAGTGGTGCTGTCAAGAGGATAAATAGTAAAGCTCTGCTGAGCCATCTAGAAACACTGCAGTGTGTGTATATGTGTGTGTGTGTATGTGTGTATGTATGTGTGTGTATGTGTGTGTATATGTGTGTATGTGTATGTATGTGTGTGTATGTGTGTGTGTGTGTATGTATGTGTGTATGTGTGTGTATGTATGTGTGTGTGTATGTGTGTGTGATAATTTAATTTAAAGGTTAAGAAGAACAGATGCACACGGAACTATATATTTTGTGAAAACAAAAGGGAGTCAGTCTAGAAAAGGGCATGGCTGTTCACGTGCCCTGAACGGGTGACCAGGATTAACTAAGCCCTCTAACCTGACGACCCAAGAGGCAGGAAGAACTGTGGCAAATACCATTGGCTATTCCCAGTTCACCCACCTTCTTCCGTGCCACCACTTATCCATCAAATCTGAAACGTTCAATGCTCACTTTCCGAGTCCCTGCAGCTACAAATGGTCAGAAGACATAGTCTGGGCCAGCGAGACAAAAGCAGAAATCTGCTCTGCCTGGAAGTGGGGCTCTGGAGTAGCTTTCGCTTTCTTTACAAAAGCGGGGTCCCTGGTACTGTACCCCTCCTCCCAGTCATGGTATATGGAATGCAGCAGCCACCTAGCAGCCATGAAGCAGCAAATCAAAATGCTCTGGAGACCAGAAGGAGTGAAAGGCAAGTGGCCTTTGATGGTGTCATTCGGCCGTTGACCGCCCGCGACTGCTTGCTTCAAACTTCTTGCTGTGTGAGAAAAATAACCCCCATGTGTTTCAGTTGATATTGCTCACTTTTCTAGTAATTGCAGGTAGATTTATCTCTAATAGATGGAGAACCAAACTAATATTAACCACTACCATTTCCTGGAATCGCTGTGCCAGGTACTCTGCCAAGCTCTTCTTAGGCATCATGTCCTTCTTCCTCACAGGGAACTGATGGCACAGGGACTGTGATTATGCCCATTTAAAAGCAGGGAAGAGTGAGGCCTGGACACACCACAAAACGGATTAGTGGCAGATCTGAGGCTGGACCCAAGGTCCATGGAACACCGGTCTCTGCTGCATTCTGGGGCCTCGACAAGATCCAGCCCCCATCTGGTTTGTGCCAGATACTAAGTGGAGAGTCTCAGGCATGTTTCTTACCCTCCCTGAAGCTCAGTTCCTCACCTGGAGAGCGTGATGGCCTTGGCCAGTTTTCCCAGTGGTTAGAGCGTCGACTCTTGGACCAAAGGGTCTCAGGTTCGACTTCTGGTCAAGGGCATGTACCTCAGTTTCATGTTTGATCCTGAGCCACAGTCAGGGTGCATGCAGGAGGCAACCAGTCACTGTGTCTCTCTCACATCGATGATTCTCTCTCTCTCTCTTCCCCCCTCCCTTTCACTCTATGACCAATGGAAAAAATATCCTTGGTGAGGATTAAAAATCATAACACTAATAAAAAGAATGTGACGAGACTCAGGTAACATAAATAAAAACACTCTGTGAGTGTGACCGCACGTCTTAGACACGACATGCCAGTGTCTGTTTCCTTGGCTGGAATACAAGGAATGCAAGAGATCAAGTTACGAAGGTCGTCTGGGCTGAAATGCCCTTGGTTTCTGTTGTGCCTGGCACCAAACACAACAACTGAGATCAGCCTGCCCTGCCCTGCCCTGCCCACCTCCCTCCCTCTCCACTGCACTCCCAGACGCAGTGTGGACATCTCAAGAGTGGGGCAGTGACACTGATACACAGTGATTTGATTTGGAATCCTGCCTCCTGAGAAAGGACTGATTCTGCAGGACTCTCACCAAGG